ATATAATAAATACATAACATTGAAAAATTTAATATCATACTGAAAATTTTTGAAATTAGAAAAAACTATAAATTAAGGATTTTGATTTTTTTCAATTAACTGAAAAAAAAAACGAAATTAATTAATTTTAATACCTGATTACTTGCATTCCTCGATTTCTCAAAATTCGCTAGCAGTGAGTAAATATATAAAAACCTTCAATCACTTCAAGCACGCTGCGTTGACCCGAAAATCAATTGTACAGTAATACTTACGTACAACAACAACAAAAGTGTTTTTGCTCCCACACTCCTACCAGCTTTTTACTTTCTTATTATCCTACGGCAGCGAACCAGTCAACTAAGGAATGCGCTGTGTGTGCGCTTGAGTGACAGGAAGCGGAAATCCATGTTGATTGATTGATTTTAATTTCCTGCCACAACAAACATGCACAATTGCAAATTTGACTTTTTGATTTCACACACACACACACACACACACACACACACACACACACACACACACACACAAACACTTGAATTTATATATGTAGAAGCAGAGATATTTGTCTGCGCCAGCAGCATCTCATCAGAAACCACCCACTTGAAGGGCGAAAAGCAAACGAACGGAAGCACCCCGAGTGACGGAAGCAGCGGCTGTGTGTCAGCAAGTTTTGGTTGGGTGGTTGGTCACGCAGGCAGGCAGACAGATAGTCCGCCAGTTACACTGGCATACAAAACGCCGCAATGGCAGTAGTAATATGTAGCGGAAAAAATCTCGGAAGCAGTCAAATATATGACAGCTAACTTAAGTCCAGGACTTCAGGCAGCACGAAGTAAATATGCTTATTCTCTGACTTCGGTCAATGTCATGCTATAAATTTGACTGGTGTATCAGTGAAGGGCTCACCAGCTGACTGCTCAGTCAATCACTCAGTCACAGCGAATTAGTGGGCAGTCTGATAATCGCATGGTTTGGTGAATATGCTGTGGTCGAATTGCTTTTTCGGAGTTTTTTTTTAGAATTTTGAAGTGTGTGTGTGTATTTTTGAATGTGTGTGTAAGGGATAGTCAGTTGAAAAGTAAGGCCACGGACCAGTCTTCCAATAACGCGTATGCTGGGTGGTGGACTGTGATGTTGAGCGGGAGTAAGAGAAAGGTGGAGGATGCATAGCCGGTATTGAAAGCTCTTCAAGAAATTCTTCAAATGTTCTGACGCTTAAAATTTAAATTTTGAAAAAAAAATTATTCCAAAATTAAAAAAATTTATATACATATGTATCTGAAAGTTTTAAAATTAAAAAAAT